TCTCTCTCTCTCTCTCTCTCTCTCTCATGATTTGGATTTTCCCCCCTTTTTTTCTACAATGACCTTGATTTCATTCACCCATTCTTCACGCTAGACACAATTTTCGTAATTTCAAATGCATAGAATTGCATGTCTTCATCTTTCGACACAAGGCTGAAGAAAAATCATGTTTCAAGATTGACACCGAAAGCTTTAGATTGTAAAGAGTGTAAGTCCCCATCGACACAACTTAGATATTATACCTGCCTGTGGTGGCCACCTTGGGCAGACTGGAATGCTGAATTCCTACAGAAGGACGAAAGCTCTTGATTAATGGCCTCCTCCTTGCGGGAATCGAACGCATGTCTTATTCGTCTTTGTTTTGCTAAGTCTTTTGTGGCGCTCGCAACTGCATAAGGTCATATGAGCGCACGGAACACTTTAAACATTTTCAGTTTGTAGGAAATTTGGAATTTTGCCCGGATGGCGACCGAAGCCTACTTTTATCGATCTTAGACCACCAAGGGATCTTTTACTGGCACAACTTTCACAAGAGACATTCGAGATTTTTTGCCTTTGTCCGAGAAGGCTAGGTGTAGATCTTTCCTACCAGAAGACCAGGGGTGTGCCTGAAAGACAGTTGTAAGAAGGAGCAAAGGAGTAGCAGTAGAAAGGCTGCAAAAAGAGTCAGGTGCCCAGAGGAGGGGGCAAAGGAGGGGAGGAGTTGGGGGCTGAAAGTGGAGGCGAAAACAGACCACAGAACATTGTTAGAGACCTGGAAAGGAGATGAAAGGAGACAATTGTAGGGAACAAATTTTTTTCCGTCGCTGCCGGGATTCGAACCCGGGACCTTTGAATGAGAGGTGAACACCTTAACCTTTGGGCCACGAGAGTCCCAGCATGTCTTATTCGTGCAACAGCAAATTATAGCCTAGAGCAAAACAAAGAAAAATAAAAAGTAGGAATATAACACGTAGAAATGTAAAACATTGAAAAATAAAACGTAGAAAACTAAAACGTAGAAAACGAATACTTAAAAACTAAAAGCATAGGAGAAAAATAACGAAGGAAAATAAAACGTTGAAGAATAAAACGTAGAAGAATACAACGTAGAAAATTAAACGTAGAAAGTTAAAACGTAGAAAACGTAAACTTAAAAACTAAAAGCATAGAAGAAAAAAACGTAGGGTAAAAAGGGTAAAAAAATAAAGAGTCGAAAAATGAAACGTAGAAAAATATAACACAGAAGAAAAATGTGGAACAATAAAACGTAGAAAACTAAAACATAGAAAACTAAAAGCGTAGAAGAAAAAAACTTTGGAAAATAAAAGGTAGAAAAATAACATGTATGAAAATAAAACGTTGAAAAATAAAGCCTGGGAATATAAATCGCAGAAAAATAAATAGTAGGCCCAGTTGGGTGCACGAAAGTCAGATAGATTTCGTCAGGATAGTTTTCCGACACGTGAATGGGGAATTGTTCAAAAGTGGAAATTTTTGTTCCTTTCACTTTTAGAAAGGGATTTCCCATTCTTCCACTAAAATTGGCAGAGAGGAAAAGTGATTTTGTCATTCGATTTAGACGTTACAATGCAAGAATCTGAGTAAAAAGGATTTTTTTCAATTTTTTCAAATATGGAATGGGGTTGTAGGGGGTTTTTTTCTTGTTCTTTTCTGGGTTTTTTTTTTAGAGCTCTCCTGAAAAACAAAATTCGATAGACTTACGCATGTAGAAAGTTCCATCGTGGATTCGACGATTCCCCAGAGATCAACCCGGTAAAAGTTATTGGATGCTTTATAAGCTTACGTTGTTTTGTTTTGTTTTTGGTTGTTGTTGTTTGTTTGTTTTTAGTTTGCGATTTTAAATTTTTTTTTTTTTATTTATAATTTAATTCTTTTTTTTTTTTTTTGGGGGGGGGGGGTATTTTTTGTAGATTTTTTAATAACTACATACAGGATGGCTGTGGTTTGCAGTATAACATGGTGAAAGTGAAACGACCACCACGATAAAGACACACGTGTACAGTGCATTGAAGTAAGACAGAATAATTCGTACTTCATTAACATGCGCAATGATATTGAATGACACTGTTGAAGTCAATAGACATACAGTAGCATGTATAATGAAGGCTAAAGCTAGTGCAAACTAGGGATAGAGTCTGCAAATATCGGACACAACGCATTTTTAGTTTTACGACATTTGAAGCACAGTTAGGTCACATAAGGGCCGACGATTAGAGGTGGTACAAAAGTGAAACAAACACAAAAAAGGAGTAGAGATAAGGAAGATGGGTGTTTGATAGGAAACAGAGAGCACACCAGAACACACGCCAACCACTCATCACCTTGCGTTTGTGCATATCAAGCAAAAGTGTAGATGTACAGAAGGGGTGCAAATAGGTGGATATAGCGGGAATAAGCAGACAGACAGGTGAACAAGTAGCAAGGCAGTCTTTTTATAAGTATAATTAATGGAAAGATATTAGAATCAACAGTTGACAAGAAACATAATATAATACCCTTGATTACTAGATACTCCATAAAAATGTTTTCCCTCTCCTGAATCACACTGAATGAAACCTATGTCTTTTGGTTGCAGCAGCAAAGAGCCAAGCCAACTCACCAGATGTGCTGGTCTTACTTCCAAATAAATAAGTAACGAAACAACACAATAACTATTATAATCCTTAGTGTTACCATAATAAGATGTTGTTAGTTGTTGCTCGCTGCTAGATACAACGTCATATGTCACCTTCTGAGGAACATACGAGAACAGGGTCATGCTAAACCGAGAGGGATACAAATTTAACGTCCCAACAGACAGACGGAGGTTCTCTATTTAAAAAGTTCCCCACAAAAGAATCGAACTCTCGTTTTCTGCGTGTAATGAAAACTAGGAGAAGGAGTTCACCGCACCAGAACACCCACCACCCACAAGACAGCAAACCACACGCAACCTCAGAACGATGGGGGCAAAGGGGGAAGATGTCAAATTTGGTCGACTTTGAGTTTGACTTAGACTTCAACCATGCATTATTTCAAAAGTTCCCCTCGACAATTATTTAGATTATTGAAGGGGCTGAGAGGGACACAATAGCCCATATGGAATTGTACTCATTCTTCAGCAACCCCCATCGACTAATATTTAGATCATTTAAGGGACTGAGAGGATTACAATACCCGAGCAGAAAGACGGAGATACCCAATCAAAATTCTCCCCACTCAGGAACCAAACCCACGTCTTTTATGCTGCTGGGGATAGAGAGGTGAGCAGAGTAAGCCTGATTCCCCGTTAGGACTTCTCTGTTGACATTCACCCCAAGGTGTTCATACGACCTTTTGCAGTTGCGAGCGCCGTAAAACCATACTAAAGCTAAACTAAAACCCACCTCTCCTGCGTGCGACGGC